CTGCCCAGGGAGCCCTCCCCTCCCCCCATCCCACTCCTCCCCCGCCCGATGCTTCGTAGAGCGACCTCGGACTGAGCACCTCTTAGCAATACAAGGGGAGGTTCCAGGGCCCGACAGGGCGCAGGAGGTCATTGCGGTGGCCGGTGCTGGCGGCCCTTGGCTGGGCTGTGAGCTCTCAGGCCGAGAACCTTATTTACCTAGTGCAAAAACTGTAAAAGTGTACAGACTCTTCACAGATTTTTATCTGCATTGCAAGTCTGACAATTTTTGTAAATGTTCTTGGTGTTTGACTGTAATGTAACTATTTCACCTGATGGTTGTACATAGTCCTTTCGTCCTGGTGCTGCCGAGGGCCGCCCGGGACCGCTGCTCTCCGATGGTTTGTATTTTATTTTTTAATCTAGAGAACAGTATTGGGCAGGAGGAAGAGGTTTGGGATTTGGGTGTCGGGGTCTTTTCCTTGCCCATGCATTTATTCGTTTGCTTTCGCAGAGGTGCTGTCTGAGTGGGGGTGATGGAGACCTGTGCCCGGGCTGGGCCAGCAAAGGGGGCTCCTGCTCGGGCCACATAGAACCTGTGTCTCAGTGTTAGACGCCGCCCGCAGGCAGGACTGGGTCGCCAGAGGGCCTGGCGGGAGGGGGAGTGAGGGAAAGCAGTCCCCGCTCATGGAGGACCAAGGTCCCAGAACCCCAGACTGGCTGGAGAAGGTTCTCCCCTCCTTTGCCAACACAAAGAGGCCTGACTTGTTTGCTTAACTTTTATGTTTAAGGTGAAGGAAACTGCCAAACTTCCTATAAGTGAAGACTCTCTTTCCGACTGCCCAGTATGGGGGGTGGGGAACCAAGGCCAGACCGCCACACCCCCCGGCCCTACAGCGCATCTGCCCGGGGCGCACCTCTTCCTCCCACCCTGTCCGCGGAAGGCAGACCATCCAGGGAAACAGCCCCTCTCTTTTCTACACACTCAGCCCCAAAGCCTCCCCAGCCCCCACTCCACCTCCCTGCTCCCCCTTTTGTAAGTATGTGAAAAAGGACAAAACTACAGATGTTGGAGTCTTGGCCGGAGTCTCCCCTCCGGCTGCGACTTTTAACTATGTAATAATGTACAGAGAACGTTGTTGGTGTTCTAAGACTGTGTGGCTGTGCAATTTCTGTACATTTGCAATTAGAAATATTAAAGATTTATTTAGCTATTTTAAGCCTGACTCACCTCTCTATTCAGCGATGTCCCAGGAGATTCTCCAAGGGTGACAATTCGTGGGCTGATGTTGTCCTTTACCAAGGGGCCCAGCACTGAGTTCATCCTGGTGGCAGTTGTGGACCCTTAAAGCTGGTGGCACTGGTGGTCTCAGCTCACTAAGTGATCCTCCAGGCTGAGGGTCTCTCTGCTCCAGGAAGTGGAGCAGATGAGCTCTCTAGGCCCTGCCCACTGGCTGCGACCGGCTCGGAAGTGAGGTCTTTGCTGGTCCCACAGCCTCCAAGGAGCGCAGCCCCTCACTTTCCCTGCAGCAGATACCAGCTTCTGCCAGTCCCTGCTGCAGATGCTGTCCCATCAGCTGATGTCTGCCTCCAGGAGGGGAGAGGCCCAGGGCGGGGAAGAGGTTGGCCCAGGGTCACCAGCAGGTCCTGGCTGAGTTGGACTAAGCCTAGGCTCCTGGTGTCTGGAAGGCCCCAGCTGGTGGTGCTCTCTCAACCCTTACCCGCCTGCAAGGCTGAACCCAGGGCCTTTGCTGGGAACAAATTTGCCCCCAAGCCCCTTGGACTCTGCACCTATGCACAGGGCACCTTGCAGCCCTGGATCTTACCTAGCAGGCCCCAGGTACCACACTGTAACCCTTAGGGGTCAGTGTATCCCCTTTCTACACAGAGGAGCAAGTCCAGGCCCCAGCCCCAGTCCAACTCCTCAGAAACAACACTCAGGGGCCGAGAGTCTATGGAGGGCAGGGCTATCTGGTCGGATCACCAGACGGACACCCTGCTCTGTCATCTGCGCGGTGTCTCTGGCTCCTTGTCAAGGACCTGGGCCCCAGGCTGCTCCTGTGCTTTTCCTTGAAACCAATAGGAGGGCTGGTTTGGGGGGAGGGCGGCAGGGTGCCACAGAGCCACAGGCTTCTGTCCACCCTCACCAGCCTGCTCCTGCTCCAGCCTCCCCGCAACACCCCACAGTGCCCCTTGTTCTAGCCCTGGGGTAGCTCTAACCCCATACGGTTCTCTGAGGGGTAGTAGGGGGTCATCCTGCTCCCCAAACCCATACTGCTCAACACTCAGCCATTAGGACGTGTTAATTCCCCACCCCTGCCCCACATGGCCACTTCTGCCCGCCCTCTGCACCCTCCAGTCCACCTCCCTCCATCAGCCTGGTGACCTCAGCCACCTGCCCAGCACCCCAGCCCCTTGGGTTCTCGACCTCTAGTCTCCCGTGAGGACCCCTCCCGACCATCTACCACGGTAATGCCGCGGTTCACCCTCGGATGGGCCCTCTTCTTCTCAGGCTCACATCTTCCCCACCAGGTTTGGCCCTGCGTCTCTGCCTCCTCGGCCCCTCTTTGGACCATATGCTTTGACTACATCAGCCCTGGGTCGTCCCAGTGGCTCCTGGTCTCTGGGCGGCTGAGCATCGCAGGAGAACAGCAAAGACGCTGCCTGCCGCCCCTGCTGTGCCGCTGCGGGTTCCTGCCTCCTCCATTCTCTGCCGCGCCAAGGAGGTTAAGGCAGATTTGGACCTCTTCTCAGATCTCCCTGCTCCGAGAGCCATCCTCCTACCCCTCTGGGGGAGGATGCTCAAGATGACCCCCTGACCCTTCCCTGGCTCCCCACCAACCTGGCTACCCCAGCCCTCATCCCTGCAGGAATAGAAGTGACCCTTTTCCTGCCCAAGATGGCCCGTGGCCAGAGCCGTCCCCTCTCGCCCCTTGCTGCTTTAATCACTCCGAAATCTTCAGCCTCGCTGCTCTTTCCCAGGGCACCAGGTCACCAGGTCACCACCTGCTCCTCACCTGCTGCAGGCTGGGGTTTCTTCCATCCCCTTCGGCCAGCCTTATCCTGCCTCCAGGTACCTGCCATCTCCCCTCCTCATCTCCCGTTCTTTCCCCAGCCCACCACTTCATCGCCAAACCCATGGGCTCCCTCGGTGCTTCTGCGCTGCTGTCCCCAGTTCCCAAGATCAGAGACTGCCATCCTTCCGCTGGGGCGATGCCACACAAACAGCAAAATTCAAGGAGTTAGCAATGAAAGGGAAAGAATCTCACATGGACAGAAGACATTCATAACAAAGGCACTAAAGCCGTGAACCTCCACAAGTGGATCAAGAAGCATCGAATAGAGAGCAAACCCTGGAAATGCAAAGAATCGACAGAAATCCAACTGCACTTGACACGGACACACCACCAGTGTTAGTTTATTACAGATTCAGGAGGCAGTAAGAACCTAGAAGATTTTAATAATTAATAAGGTTTAATAAACAGGGATCCATCAAGCTCTTAATCTAGGGAGCACACCTTCTTTTCAAGTACTTGGAACATTACCCAAAGTTGACTATAATGAGATA